AGATTTATATGTAAATCTCTGATTTCATTTTTATACGATTCTAAAAAACCAGTTCATGCCCCATCTCGAAGCTATACTGAAGATCAAGTCGTCCGTGTCGTAACTCTCCTGCCTGTGTTCAAAAACGCAGCAGTAATGGTCATAAATCAAGGAATAAACACTTACCGGACATGAACAAAAAGTGTTGTTTATAATCAGTTAAAACTCAATTTTTTTAAAAAGTTATTTCTTTAATTTTTTCGGTTAATCTAAACGAGATTTGTAAGTTTTTGTGTTAAAACCGCAAAGAAAATGATGATTAAGTGAAAAGAAACTGATGGCGGCTTGAATTGAAAGTTGCTGAGTTTTCTGTAACCTAAAAGGAAGAAGACAAGTTATTTACAAAAATGCCACTCATTAAAGACATGTTGCATAGTGGTTGTGGACTTTAACGATGTGTACACTGTTGTAGCGATATAATTTTGTACACTATTGTACCGATATTCGTGTACACCGCTGTAAATGGTATTTGTGTACATCAAAGTAATGATATTTAACCCATCTTCCCGTGTACACTATTGTAACGATATCTATGTACATCGTTGTACATGTGTACGGTAAATATGGTAGTGTACATATATAAAAGAACCAGAAATGAATCAAGCTAATACCTACCATGAATCTAGCATGAAAACACACACATAACACATACACTAATTAGAAACTCTTAAACAAGGTGTGAAAGATGATATATGGGTTCAATCAGATTTCAAAGATGCCCTGACACTGCATGTACATGGGAAGAAAGAAAAAAAAGTCACATATACATTGTGTTAACAGTTCGTGAAATCGTAAAAGCTTATTGTGGTTGGAAACCTACAAAAATGTCAAAAATGGATACACACTCACTTTGATGTGTAACACGAAATTAGGTGTACACATGTACAATTTAAATGTAATGTACACACGATTGTCGACCAGAAACCCTAATCTTCGCCTCTGGTTTACATGTACATGTGTGTTATATTTATTTCTTATAGTTAAAAATCATAGAACATACATATACAAAAAAACTAGTCATATGTACATAGATATTAGATACCGAAATATACACATGTACATCAATGTGTACATACAAAACTACTTATGTGTACATAAACAAAATCTCATGTTGGGTTTGTACACATGCAATCATGTACACATATACATATATATTCATGTTGTTTAATTCACGTAAAACCAACATGAGATTTCGTTTATGTACACATGAGTAGTTTTGTATGTACACATCGATATACATGTGTATATTTTGGTATCTAATATCTATGTACATATGAGACTGAAGTTTTAGAAGTGGAAATGTGAGTAGGCGGACACATCAATGTATATATTTACGAAATACATAAACTTGTGAAGACGTACACATGTATACATGGTTATGGTACATTATTTTAATAATAAAGAGTGTACATATGTGATGATGTACACATGCAGACATATAATTGTACACATGTAAATTTTAGTTTTTGCGTTAAATAGTGTACACATATGACGAGTGTACATTGTTTTAATAATAAAGTGTACATATGTAAAGATGTACACATGTACACATATAATTGTACACATTTTATTAAAACGAGTGGCAATTTTGTAATTAAGTCATCTTCTTCCTATTAGGGTATCTTTCGTTTCTGCAACTCAAGCTCAGAGCCGCCATTAATTTTTCTTCATGCAATATTCATTTTTTTAATCTCAGGAACTTAAAAATTATCGTAGTCATTAATCAATTAGATCCAAAAAAAGAAATGAAAAACAAATTTTCTCAGATTTTTTAAATTTTGATAGATTATAACCAAAACTCCATAGATCTTCTTTGTCCAGCATCAACCCGCTTGGATCTGAACCTGTTGCGACAAAGAGGAGAGTTCATTCAAATAGCAGGGATATGTTATAGAATAAATATGGAGGAAGAACCTTGGCTGCGTGCTTGCAGCTCCAAAAAAATGATACATGGTGATGAATCACGAGAAGAAAAAGTCAGATCTGTTTTTTTTTTTTTTTTGTTTTTTAGAAATTAATTGTTAACTTAAAACAAAAGTAACTAAACTAGTAAACTCTAGTTTTCATTTAGTTAGAAAAAACTGCCTCTATAGCAATAACTGCCTTTTTATGATATAAAATCTCAACAACTGCCTTTTTATGAAATAAACTCAACAAAACACCCCTCCCACCCCCACAAGGTGGGTGACACTATTAATTATTTTGTCTTTATTAAACTTTTGTTGGCTTATTTTAATAATGCAAAGAGAAGTGTGGTCCATCAATGTTCCCCTTCTCAAGTGGCACCAAACCCTTAATCGGTATAGACTCTTCAAATATGATTTGAGTGGTGCATGCCATTGATTCACAACAAAACATCAAATGATATTTGATTTTTGCAGCTGTTATATGATACTTTGAAACTTAAACTATTATTTAGTTGTGATAGTTACAATCATATGCCAAGATTCAGATCAAAGAAACGGTCATATGATTGATGATGTCCCTGAGAAAATTAATATATTTTTGGATCCAATGCATCTCTATAGTCTCTCTATATACATGTTCTCATTACAATATACGCATCATTTACATACAAAGAGAGTTGTTATTGGTACGTTAGAAGTTAAATTATACATGTCAACAGTGAACTGGCTGATAGGTATCACATGCCTGTCATTTTTCTATCAAAATTTTCACATGCAAACCAATCTGTAATCTTTGTTTTCTTGGATTTTGTTGACAAGCTAGTGACAAAACGTTCAAGATTGTGTATAATTATCTCGAGTGCTACAAAATTTATCCGATCAAACTCATTATTCATTCACATCATGTATTTAATATTCTAGTGGTATTCAATATCGTCATGCTATAGAACGAGTTTGCATTTTCCATGGCTTTCACTAAAGGCTTCAAAATTAAGGATGTCCCTTGAAGAAGAAAATCATAGGATTCGGTTCATGTGCCATTTTAAACATTTTGTGTTTATGAATATGCGTTGCAGAATAGTGGAGGGCTACAATCACTTAGTCATTTATAAATCAATGTTTTCAAACTGCAAGAAGACTATGGAAGATTATATATGTGTTAAGCTCTAGGAAATACATAATAAACAAGATAGTTAATTTTAAAGGTTTCTAATAATGTAGTCACGGTCGGAAGTGATCGTTCGTGTATAATGTGCTCGTAGATGCAGACATGCAGATAAGAGGCATGCAAATTGGTAGGGTAAATTGGGCATGCGTGGTCTGTCGATATGTATAACAGAAAATGAGATAGATATGAATACGAATCAAAAACAAAAGTGAGTCATTTGGAAATATGTTAGTGTGGAGGACATACATATAGATGTCGGCTCTTCATAGGACAAAAACTCCAGTTTCACTGTACTGCTCTTGTCGGTCACTACCTCTTTCCACCTTAAGAAGTATACTTCAACTTTTTATTTACGTGGGTATTCAAGTCTATTCAGACGTATGAATAAACTCCACTCCTTCAATAGATTGAAAACATATGTATGTCAAGTAATGTGTGATAAACTCATACTTTTCGTATATTAATGTTCAAAAGTGTTTTTAGCTTTTTTTCTTTAAATGTTAATGTCTTATAGATCGGCTAACCCTAGCCAACTATCCAAATGAAGAGATTTGGGAGATAATTTCAAGTCTTTTCCAATAGTATTTTTTCTGAATATACTTTTTAAGATTTAGGAAACGTTTCTTGATAAATATAAGTTCTCGTAGTTGAGTATATCTTCTCTAAAATGAATGTTATAATTCTCAGCAATCTTCACATGATAGCCAACAAATCCCATCTCACATCTCGAGTTCAGCACCCCAAACTCCAATTTGGATCTTGTTGCAGTACACTTCTGTAGCACTATGGTAAAAGCTGGACATCAAGATACTACTTCTTCAATCTCTTCCTTTATAGACTTGTGATTCCCAAGCAAGTGTAAGAATCAATGAACCAATACACACACAAACAACCAAAGTACGACTCCAGCAAGCCAATGCACACACCCATTATGGAATAAAGTCTGAAAACAAGAAGAGATGGAGGAGTTAGAGAGATGAATACACTTTCCCACTATCCCATAACTCTAGTCTACTGAGCTAAATGATAAACAAAAGCAAATATCCCTATCATCAATCACTCTCTCATAAATCTAGCCAGCCACTTTCATCATAATTTTTTTATTATCTTCTTACTCAAGAGTACATACAAAGTTTTTTTTTTTACCTCGACGGGCAATTCTGCTACTCATATTGAAATAGAGTAACAAACAAAACATAACTCTTGTAACATTTCGAGTTGTGATATATGAAAAGATTTAAGAGAATTGATTTGGCTACCTATGCACTTACCTTTTCGGGAGCACATCTAGAGAGAACTCCAGAGTTAAGCGTGATTAAGCTGGAGTAGTCAAAGGATGGGTGACCTATCGGAAAGTGATTTGCAATACCGTGTAAGTAAGGCCAAAGTACGGGTAAAGGTCGGGTGGTGATTGCAGGGTCAGTAAACATGACTCTAGAACCTTAGAAAATTAACAAACTGACCGTTGGAACGGGATGGGGTCCACAGACCGAGAGAGCGGGTGTGGGTGGTCCATTAGCCGTGGACGGTCGGGGCGTTACAAACTCATTATGGAAAGATCTATTGTTCTTAAGCTTAAAAATCCGTTGTAGAATTGTCTGTACAAGTAAAAAAAAATCCGTTAGATATAGCATATGTGTAATACTTTTCGATTTATCATTCATTAACTGGTGTATATCCCGCGGTTAGTCAGTAAAATTTAATAAGGAAGGTGAAAAAGGTTAATCCATACGACACCGCACCGTTTAGTACCGAAAAGGGTAAGACAGTAAATTCAACCAAAAACGAACCCCACTCACTCACCTTTGCAGTTAGGAAGGTACAGATTTTTCCTTTTTTAAAATCTCATTTTCTTTTTCCGAACAAAACAAAAAAAAATCCGTTTAGCTTCCGATGAACGCCGAAACCGTTACGCAGATGCCGCCGGCGACTCCATCCACAGCTTTCACTGACTCCTCCTCCGATGAAGCAATCAACGCTGCAGTTGACTTAGAGCTCGCGTCTGCTGCGGCAGTAGGAGTCGGAATAGTAAGTTACTCAAACGGAAACGGCGGCGGATTCGGAAGGAGCAAAGCGAAGGGACCTTGGTCATCGGAGCAGGACGCTGTTCTGACGAGGCTTGTGAGCAAGCTAGGGCCGAAAAACTGGACTCTGATAGCACGTGGCATCCCAGGCCGGTCTGGGAAATCGTGCCGGTTAAGGTGGTGCAATCAGCTCGATCCTTGCCTCAAACGTAAACCGTTCACTGGTATAATGAACAAAACTTCTCTTAGATCATCTCTCAATGCCTAGATTCATAATAACTTTGTGGCTCTTATGGAGAGCTAAGTAGGTAGCGGCCTTATCTGCGTCCAATGCTTGTAGCTTAAGTGATGTATTATCAATCGTTATCTTCAGATTCGCATATCGCTATTGTTGATTGTGGAGAACTAAGTCGGTTTTGAGTGATGTATTGTGATCATTGTTGTTCATATGAATCAAGAATCGGATTCTTTGTGTACATAGAGATGGTTTTAGGGATTTAGCATTCATTCGCTTGGATCAAACTGTTTATGCTATGATTCTCTGATGATTACTATATGATTGATGTATGAAACTGAAGATGAGGAGGAGAATCTGATAATGTCAGCACACGCGGTTCACGGAAACAAATGGTGTGTGATTGCAAAGCTCTTACCTGGTAGAACAGATAACGCAATCAAGAACCATTGGAACTCTGCTCTTAAGCGTAAACACGCAGATATTTGGAACAGTCATCAGTCCAAGTCTAATACTGTTGTCAGAAAGGTGTGGAATCCATCATCGTCCCACAAAGAAGAAACCAGTTGTTCTCACCCTTCTCCTCAGGTATCAACTGATGTTAAAAAGGAGGATGAAGCAAAGAAGCCTCGGGAAGGAAAGTGTAAGCCTAGTGTTTATCGTCCCGTGGCTCGAATGGGTGCTTTCAGTGTCTATAAGCCTGGCTACATGAATCATCATATAGCTCCATGTGAGGGACCTTTGGTTCAAGCAGCAAGACCTGACTCGTTGGCTGGTCAGTTTCTTCGGTCTCTTTGTTATCAACCTAACGTCCCTTCGAGGTGTGGTCACGGTTGCTGTAACCAACTACCGGAGAAAACTCTGTCATCGTCTTTGCTGGGACCAGAGTTTGTGGATTATGAGGAGCCTTCTTCTGCAGGTTTAGATCAAGAATTGGTTTCTATAGCAACTGATTTGAACAGTATTGCTTGGATAAGGAATGGACTTAACAGTAGCTATTCCAGAGAAGTGGGACAGAGTTTGAATGCTGGTGGTAATCTTCATCTTGAACATGCTCGAGCTCGAGCGAGGTTTACTGGAATGGTGAACAGTGGTATGCCAAGTCAGATGCGGAGGCAAGATTTAAGGGCTTTAATCTAACTTTAGAGAGATAACATATCGTGTAATGTTTTTATCTGTTGTATCTGATCTTAGAATATCGAAATTTTACAAGTAAACTTCGCACGATGCAGTGTTAGTGTTATGTATTATGATGATAAAGTGCGTGATTTCTATGATTCTATGTTCCTTTTACAGACATTTTGATTCTGTTCTCCTTGCAGCTGAATTGGGTATCTTTATTGAGAAAAGAAGAGCTTGTGGTTTTGACTTCTTGAATGTGGAAATTTTTACAAGTCATAACGGGTGGGAAACCCAGCCAAATGTATGATGGAACGAGCTTAGGCATTCGAAAGCCCACCAAAAAAGGCCTCCTCATTCATAAACTTCACAGTTCATAGTTCTAACTTCAAAATTTTAATTTTTTTTACTTCAAAATTTTAAATATTCAGATTTAGTAAGTTGTTTAAGTTATTCACTTATTTGAATGGAAATACAATCATACAAAACTTTATTAAAATATAGATGTGTATTGTAGATGTCGTGACAAAATTTTATATTTGTTTTTGTTAGTATGGCAAAAAACTTATATACTCAAAAATTATAACGAAAAGATAAACTAAATTTATCATTTTTCTAAATTCAAAACTATGTATTTTTAACATATTATTCCTTGTTTGATAAGAAATATTCAATTTTGTTTTAATTAGGCCAGAGTCTTAAAAAATATATTTACAATATGAACACAAATTAACAGCATATTTTTAAGTTGAATATAACCTAGAATAATATTTGTCTGTTTTTTAACATTATTTATATCTTGTAACTTGTACAATTTGTCTATGATATTTTCCATTTAAGTTAACAGCATCTGAACAGTTATTAGTTTTGCATCCAAACAAGTCTAGTCTACAACCCATTTCTTTAAACTTAAGAAACTTTAGTAGTTTCGATTCTTTTAGAATAATTATCCGTTAAAATCAATATAGCCCATCCAACATAAAATAAAATAAATAAACAAAACATAAGTCAATTGCGTAGAAAGGAATACAAATAACCCGATGAATTAGATAACAAAGATTGATTATGGCTTTTGCTTTACTCACATTGCTGCCATATATATGGATGCCTTGTCGTCCTCAGAGAGACATAAAGGCTGAATAATAATTATATTTTCAAAAAATATCAACAACCATGACCTACCAAAACATAATTATAAGCTTCCACCGTCATAGACTCATAGGAGTGGCTATTTCCACTACTATACTATGGTTTACGTTTTATGTTTGTTTGGTTCAAAAATTGGCAACCAACAAACTATCGATGAAAATTAATTAGTGAACCAAGTATTATCGGATTGGTTTGTTTGATTGGTCTCACGTTTAGAGAAATTTTTAAAAATGCTTTAATTTTTCAGCTTATTAAAAGTTAATATACAAATATATGAGTTGTATCCAAAATAACTAGTACTAAGTGGTTGTACGCGAATTCGCGGATATAAATATTGTATGAAAACATATATTATATTTACAATGTAATAACAATTAGAAAAATAAAAAATACAAATAGTTTGACAATCAGTCATTAAGGTTTCATAAATTTGATGTAAAAATAACTGATGAATATTTAGTAATAACTAATAATTGTGAAATTATATTGTGTATATAGTTATCACATTAACTTCCCCAACACATATTATGCATCTTCGTCGGTCTCTTCTTATTTTTTATTATCATTTCATTCTCTTTATTAAATGTTTGTTAATATTTTCTAATTTTTAAACTATTTTGCCAAATACTTATTTATCTCTAAATAATAGTACATAACATACAATCAATGAACCAAAAAATTATTTTAGAATAATTTTCAATCATAACTTTATTTTATTCACTAAAGTTAGTGAATTAGTTTTATTGCCTAGTTTTTCAAAATATATTTTTATATAATTTATAAATAAACATTCAGTGAATCCATATAAATGAAGAAGTATTATATAAAATTTTCATAAATGTTACAGTAAAATATTATAGATGATTATTCATAAGATTATATGTATTGTTTGATAACTAACATTAATTGGTTTTAGGATTGCGCCTTTTAGATTTGATTAAAATAAATAAAAATTTTAAATTAGTAACCAATCAAATTATATTAATTTTTAAAATATCACTTATAATTGATACATAGGTAAAATCACGTAATTGACTTCTCAATTAATATATAATAGAATTTCACTAACAAAAAATGTACATAACCTTGTTAATATGATAATATCTATAAATCATAATTATAACTTTCTACAATGATTTTGATTGAATAATTCAGTTAGGTCTACATCTGCACTCCTAAGCATACAACCCCGATAGTGGTGTTTATTTAGATAATACATGCGTGCTTACAATTTGTTTGTGAATGATTTTGCATGAAAATTTAACTATGATATAGTATTCTAAACCAAAGAAATACAGATAATCATTAATGGATTCGATTGAATATACAACACCTAGTGAAAATGACCTAATAATACGGTTAATATAATCCCTACCAGTATCTCATGTATAACAATATATATAAAAAGAAAAAAGAGAACCAAAGTACCAACAACAAACCATATCAAATAGAACATAGTAAATTGTATTAACATTAAGTTCGGAATTTGACCAAGTCAAATAAGAAAGCTGCGTGGATTCACATATCCCAGAGCAAACACATGTGTTTCACTCTTTTGCTTTAGATTTTAGTGGCTTCACCTCATCTTTTGTATATTTCCCGACTCCCATCTTTAAGAGAGTTGAAACTCCGTAGCACAAAAAGCATTATGGTTGGTTCATTGTTGAACAAGAAGTGTAGTTGCTCTTGGCTTTATGCGGAATTGCGGAATGTGTGCAACAATCAACGCTCTCAAAATATAATACTAATGATTCATTAGTAGAATTTGGACTCAAGATTTTCTTTTAAATAATCTTTTCTTTTCTTTTAAATTATGTTCTAGCTCATTTTTTGAACGGTAAATATTATAGTATGGTACTCTGGTCTGTTATCGTTTTTAACTATGATCTTGGTTAGGTCTAAACCATGTGTCTATTTTTTTTTGTTCATAAATCTTTCTAGTGTTGTAAAAGTTATCAATTTAAGTATAAACACAAAATCATTCCCATATTAGGGTGAGATGAGATGGAATCTTAACATACTATATAGATGGACATATACTATTTGGATCCAAAGTTTATTGAATGTTCCCATTCGTTTCATATCAGGATCGCAACATCAGCTTTCCTAACTCTATTAATTATTTTCCAACTACTGATCTGTAAGAGATAAAATTTGTACTAGAATAGGTGTAGGCCCGACTGTAAAGTTCATGTTAAAAATGGAAAGTTTTTAAGTAAAAATTAGGGGACATACAATCTACATCACACATATACACAGTAGATAATAGATCCGATTTTCATTCACAGGACAGTAAAAAGGTGTGTTCAAGATTTCAAGTCTGCACAAATTTTCCCACTGCTTCACGCCTAAGCAACCCTCTTCTTCTTTTTTTTTCTTTCAAGATCTTCCTTTTTGCTTTTGCCATGTTTCCATGTCATCATGCTTCTTTATTTTATTGGTTCAATACGTATCTATCCAAGGCCGGCGTTGGGCAAAGCCGGATGAAACATTGGCATTGGCCCCTAAAATTTTTTGAAAAAATTACATGTATATAGGCCCTTCCCCCACAAAAAAAATTTAGGCCCCTAAATCCATAGAAATTTTTTTTTTAGATGAAATTGTTATAAAATCGACTTCGGCCGCATAATTCTCAGAGCCGGCCCTATATCTACCCATTTGATTTGCTATGCCCAATAATCGAAGTACACACAGTAACTACTTCATTGAAATCTGTTGCATGTTACTTTTACTTTTGAATTTTCAAACAAAGAATCCAAAGCTCTAGTCTGTCACATTTGGTAAGTACATGAATCAAAGTACTCCATAATAATAGAGCAGGAAAGTAAAGAAAATTATACATAGATGCTTCTTAATAATTTTATTACACAAACAAAATAATACCAATGTTTTTATTACAACAACATTAGATCCTCCAAATATAGGTGAAATCCATTAAAAGTTAACACAAAAACAAAAATATCCCACCAACACATTTTGACCTTCGAATGTCGACCATGTGACAAAAAAAATAATAGTACCCCACACAACACAATTCCCTTAAACCCTCCCAAGGTCAACAAAAAAATTATAGAGAGCTTATTACTAACAGGTTACAAAATATAATAATGTAAGCAAACTTGTAATATCCCAACCTTTTATTCTACCTATCATCCTTATTACTACTAATCAGGACATAACAATATATCAGTTTATAACCTAACCACCAAACCACTTCTAGCTACGCTCCTTTTGATTCTTCAAACTTCTTAAGACAGAACAACAGTATTCAATACATCCAGTCTTGAGGAAGACGTCTTTCTTGATTCAGACAACCAGCTGGTCTGAAATTTCCCTGACGAGCAAGTAATGTACTTCTTGCCAACATGCAGTCTGCTCAAATCATTAAAAGCAAAACATTTAGATTAACTCAAAAGTCTTGTAAAATTATAACTGAACAGTTTCTAGTTTGAATCATTACCGTAATCGAACTGGCTAAGTCTTGACCCAACGTTAGTTAACTCATCAAGGTTAAGCGTCTGCGGAGGGTTGACTTTTAGCTGCGGCAAAGATGTTCTGTTGACTGGTGCTGACTTTTTGATGGGCTCTGAAGAAGTGGTTGTTGGGTATCTCCGGGGAAGAAAAACACCAGTGCCGGTAGAAGGACGTTTTAAGGGAGTTACAACGTGTTGAGGTGTCCACGTGGCGTTGGATAAAGCATTACGCTTCATGTGTCTCAAGTTTTCAAACGCTAACTCTTCGTTCACTACTCTCTTCGAGAAATGATTCTCCGAGGGTTTGACTCTTGTCTGAGAACAAAGCCACATCTGGTCAAGAAGACGCTGCTGGTAGATATATCGCTCGGTTTGAAACGCAGCGTTTTGGCGGCGGAGGTTAAGATTTGCGTTTGAGCTTTCAAGTTTGAGTCTAGCTACTTCTCCAGCCGCAGCGGAGATCACATCCCACGCATTGTCTCTCCTAAACGACGACGTATGGGGTTGAGAAGGTGGAAGGATGGGACTTGTGCTTCCGAGTCCGCTTAGTGTTGACTGTGGAGATGTTGCTTGAACTTTACGTTTCTCTTCTTGCTTGGAGTTGAAGGAAGGAGGAGGGAGGCGCTGAGTTGAGGGAGCGAGTCGGCGAGTTAACCCGGCGAGGAAGTCTTCTTCGTCGTCGCTGCTCTCGTCTTCGGTCTCGGTGGAGTTACCTGGAGAGGTGAAGCCAGGGGAGAATGATGGAGAGTCGAACTCGTAAGGGAACTCGTTTGGGAAACCGAGTCGAGTCGGGGTTAACTCGGATTCAGGTGTTTTCTCGGTGATAGGAAGGTGGACGGAGAGAAGAGGAAGAGGAGGAGGGAGTCTAGCCATGTGGAAGAGCAGAGAGAGTGGTGTGGTTTGTGTGGTGAAGTGAGAGGAGGAAGATGGGAAGAATGTTGAAGACAGGGTTTGCTTTTATTTAAGGTTTTCTTTGAGACAGCTCAAAAGCACTTTTAACTATCTCTTTGTCTTTTTTATTTTTTTTTATTAGTATCATTTTTAATTATCCGTAATTAATGCGTGATGGACGAAATTCAAAAACTATGTCCTTTGGTCTTTCTTGTTCCTTGAAAGTTAAAAAAAAAACAAAAAAAATTAGGGTTGTTTTATATTTGAAAAAAAAAAGAACTACCAAAAGTAATGGAATGTGTATGGGCATGAGAAATACAGGTGGAACCCACTTAATCCCAAATCAACTAATCAAGCTGTTAATTTACAGCTTTCCCATGGTCTTAATAATCTTTTAATTACCTCTATATAATATCTCAGTCTTTGTACTAGAATCGGTTAATATAAAATAAAAAACAATAGTACTACTAATGTATGGGCAAATTAAAAGCATAGAAACACTTCATAACTACGCCTTCTTTATCTTTTTTCTCAGGCAAGTCCTCATCATTTGCACTTTTACTTTTTTTCTTCTCTTCTAGTTACATTTACTGCTGCATAATTACCCTCCTTTTACTATTTTAAAATCACCATAAATAGTTGCGTTAAACTGCAAAAAAATAATCCCGACAACCGGATACGTTACGAAATTCCAAGGGTTTAAACTGCTGCGACTGTTCATTTTTGTAGACCCCTATTTTGTAGGTTTTTTTTCTCTTAAAATAAAGTAAAAAAATTTTAAAATTAGGTTTCATAGAAATCTCGTGACCACTCAGGGAACTTTGAATATAGCTGACGTGGCATTTCAGAAGATATGGCAGATTTAAATCAGTCATCCGTCACTCTCTCCCTCCCTTCTCCGTCGGGTTTGTAAACTGTCATGATCTATCCCATCCGTTAGACTTAACGGCTGCTAATCAAACTTGTCAAACGTAAAAACACGAGCCGTGATATAACGACGGACACGAAACCGTTGTATAAACTGGATTGGATTAATTGTATATGTTTCCCGCCATTTAGGGCGGAGAGAAGTGGGAAATGCTGGTGGGGTCCAGCTCTCTTACCTGCTGAAAAAGACAGCACCGTTAAGTCAAAAGAGCGGGAACAGATCTTCTTCCTTTATTTGGAATATATTAGACTGAAGCAAGAAAACATAAACAGCATATTTTATTAATTTAAACCGAAGAAACTCAAAATGTTTTAATATTTACTATATTGTTTTGTGCCCCTAGTTTACTTCTCTTGTCTCCGGACTCTACTCTCAAATGTCGACTTATTATAAACTAAGAGCACCACCCACAATAATGTTATTAGCTTCGTTAATGCTTTATAATCTTTAATAATGTCTAAAACCATTGAGAAAGCTGGTGATACTGTAATAACAATAAGAAAGAATGAGATGGAATCCATTTATAATTCCGTAAATTACGACGGGACTTAGATTAACAAAAAACAAGCAAGTAATTATGGGCAATGAGCAGAGTTTAGGGGAGTGGCTTACACGCGAGGAAGAAGAGAGTGTGAGAGGAGGCAACTGGAGGTGGGTTGTGTCTGCCAGCATATGCTTTATTACAGGAAGCTGTCTTTCTCTCAGACTTCATTCCACACAAAAGATTAGAAAAATTAGAAAATTCGTTAGTTAAAATAAAAATAAAATGAGTTAATTTGCGAAAGTACCCTAGTTCTCACCCTCAATTAGCGAACTAACCCTGATATGACAGTTTCATTTACTCGGACCATTTTACCCTTCCGTGTTTCGATATACTACTCGCTTAGGCTCACGCGCCTACGGGTAGCTGTGTCAGAGCGCCTCCCACGCTTGTTTTATTTCCCGTCAACCTTTATGTTTTCCAGTAAAATCTTTGCATGCTTTATATTTTGAAATTTGAAATTATTCATTAATTACGGTAACTGTAAAAATTTATCCCACCACTCTGAATAGTAACCTCCCTCTGCAATTCAACTTCCCATCTTCCCACTTCTTTCATTCTTCGTGTTTAAACTGAAAAACTTCCGACTTCCTTCTTCCAAAACCTCCGATGTCCAATCTTAGCCTTCCTAGACGATATTTTGCTTGTGGTGATGAACCAGTTGGCGACAGAGTTGTCTCTTACCACAAGTATCGAAGAACAGAGCAACTAATTGAAGCCTTAGACGAGGAGGAGTTAGCATTTTTCCACCGAACTCAATTCTCGAAGGTCCTCTCTCTCGATGAGAATCCTCCATTTTCCGGCGCGTTATGTCACTTCGTCTGTGTTCGTATGTTGAAGACCCGCAAGCTCTACGAGATTTGGCTTGTTTTTGCTGGATACCCAATAAGGATCTCGCTTAGAGAGTTTGCCATAGTCACCGGCCTCAATTGTGATAGGGTTCCTCCATCAAGGCGAAAGAAAAGGAAGAATCCTCTACACGAGAAGCTTTATTGGAATGACTTGTTTGGGTCGTTAAAGTCTTGTAGCGTGGAAACGGCGGTTGATATGCTCAAGACAAGGAAGGTTAAGGATAAGGATACTCGTCTCAAAATCGCGTCTCTAGCAATCACCGCTTCAATTCTAGTCCCAACCTCCCACTCTCCGAAGATTCTACCTGATCACGTTGAGATGATAAGAGATCTTGATGAGTTCCTCGCTCTCCCTTGGGGAAGGACATCCTTCCAAAGTCTAGCCAATCATTTACTTCAAAAGGATGCAGTCTCACTAGCGCAAGATTCCTTTGCCCTGAAAGGTTATGTTGAAGCTATTCAACTTGTCCTCATCGCCGCTGTTCCAGACTTGAAAGAAGAGGTCACACAGTCTGCCCCTGTGGTGGTTGCTCTTTCCGAAAGCGAGGGTGAGATGAATGCTGAAGAGGAAGCACCGCATGTACCTGAGGAAGGGGAGGCAGAAGACTTGTCTAAATCCCAAAAATTTGTTGTCAGGTTGCGCAATGCGAGAGAACTGAACACGGAGTGCCAGGTTAGTGTCAGGAAAAAGTAGCGATTTCGGATAAAACATTTGTTTACAGTTAATACGCATTATACCGTTGAATAATTATCGCTTTATATTACTGTATATATGCTCACTCACTTGTTAAGCATCAGCAAATAATCTTTGATTTGTATACTTAGCGTCAAAATAAGTCGTGAATTTAAAATCCTTGCCTGAGAATATAGGAATTACCCGTAAATTATTATTTTACCTGGTACCGAGAATGTTTCCCGACAAACCCAATATTGCCTGTCAACATTAACGTTAATTTTATAAATTTTGAGTAGGTGGCTGTTAGATCAATCCTGAGCGACCCTGACGAGGAGTGGTATCTACAACATGACTTCTCCTGGCCCGACGAGGAAGATGATCCCACCGTCGATAATATGGTGAAGCTCATCAACGAAGGGTTCGAATTTGAAAACAAGATGTTCATGGGAGGTATAACATCTACAGACCTTCACAAGCTAAGGGCGCATAAACAAAAGGGTAAACAGCCAAAACACAAACAACTTCCAGCAGATGTTGGTGATCAATCCGAGGTACCGCAACCTCGCCAAGTTGATGTTGATCCAATTGCCAACCTCGTCTCAGGGAAGATTCAGGAAGAACTTGCCTCAGTTGACTCTCGCATAGCTAGGGCCGTCGACCTTAAATTACAGTCCCAAATGAAGGCTATGGAGACAAGACTAACCAAATGTGTTGTAGACAACATCCACGCGATGAAAAGGGGAGTTATAAAGGCTATAATAGATTACCTGAAGAAGACAACATCTTCAACGCCTAGCATTTCAGATGTGCCACAACAACATCACACAAACACAGCAAGCCCTTCTTTGAGTGGGCATGGTGAGGCGCCTGAAAATGTGGTCCCTGAACCGATGGCGGTGGACGACCCTCAACCTCTTGTAAACCAGTCCATCAGGCGCATTTTAGATGACCTACAAGCATCATCACACAATCAAGAGGTTTGCTAATAGTTATCTTCAATTACTTAATTAACTGATACCCCTATGAACATACCAAACATTTTTTGATATCAGGTGAATGTAGAAAGGAATGTCTCTCAGCCAGATCACAACACAAAAGCCCCAACAGAGCACGAGAGAACAGAGATTCTGAACACGGAGGTTTTCTGCTAAACCTTCTCATTACCGCTAATAAATACTTTTCCTGTAATTTTGATATTTTGCTGATTACACAAAATTATATATTCTTATTATTCTACACCCATGCCTGACGTAGGATGCTGGTAATAAATCTCCCTCCAACCAAGAAGCCGAATCAACATCGGGCAAGACAATCCCTGCTGTCTCAACAAGTCCATCCATGGTATTACTTATCCCCAAGTTATAAATAAGATTTACACCAACCTAAGTTTCTAATCTCAACTTTAATACAGGTTAATCCTTCTGAAAATGTCAATAATCAGACACTCAAAGACCCCACGTCTAAGGATCTCACTGACGAAGAAGCCATCTCCGATAAGGTTTCCCGGAAAATATTTAGTTATCGTCGACTAATTTATTTACCCGTAAAGAATAATGTTTACATATAACTATTTTGTTACCCGTTATATGTGACCACTATAATCCTTATCTTTCCAGGAATTGGAGCAATGGGCAATGACGCTGGCGACTGCTATGGGAAGAAGTACCTCAGAACAAATACAGGTAATGAATCATGTACTAATATTGATATTCTTTTCTCAAATATAATTGTATATGATCTTACATTTATTTTACATTGTCATATGGGGAATCATCTCAGATGGATATTGATCCTCCATCTTTTTCTATTGGCCTCACCCAGTTAGAGGCAACAGATGGTGTTCTTCAGCCTGCTCCACTTACTGTTGTGCTACCTCCCACTGGGCAATCATCTGGCACAGTGGACACACAAAGAGCCCAAAGACAAACAATCCCCCCAACAACGTTACAAGACTATGAGCTAGACCCCAAGAGCAAGCCTGGATTCCGCGTCCTTCCAGACCTTCACAAATTGTTCGACAAGATGAGGCAGCTTATTTCACCCACGGG